ATTGCTTTGATGACGATGTTGACAGTGAGCCAGCATTCTTGTTTAGTCTTGTGGCTCAGCCTACTCTTGTTGTACGAGTGATTGAGTTACAGAGACAGGACCCGGATTTAGATGTTATTCACGTTTTGATCTCCAGTGGTGAGACAGTGAAAGATTGGGCCTTGCATGTAGATGGGGGTCTACGGTTCAGGGGGTTTATTAGTGGTTTCCACGGTTTGTCGTGAGGACGTCTTATGGGAGTTTCACACTTTCCGCTTTGCAGTTCATCCAGGTGGTACCAAGATGTATCATAATTTGAGACGTCAGTATTGGTGGAACGGGATAAAGAAAGATGTTACTCAGTTTGTGGCTAAGTGCCTTACCTGTCAGCAGGTGAAGGCCGAGCATCAGAGACCAGCTGGTTTGTTGCAACCATTACCTGTAGCACAGTGGAAATGGGAAAATATTGCTATGGATTTTATGACAGGTCTTCCAAAGTCACGGAGGGGCAATGAAGCCGTATGGGTCATCATTGACAGATTGACCAAGACGGCTCACTTTTTGCCTATTACGGCAACAAATGATGCAGAGAAACTTGGTGTATTTTATGTGAAGGAGATTGTAAGGTTGCATGGAGTTCCAGTAACCATTGTCTCAGATAGGGATGCCAAGTTCACTTCGAAGTTCTGGGAAGGACTTCAAGCAGCGTTTGGTTCAGCGTTGCATCTTAGTACGGCATTCCATCAACAGACAGACGGCCAGTCGGAGCGTACTATCCGGATCTTAGAGGATATGCTTAGGGCATGTGTGCTTGATTTGGGAGGTAGTTGGGAGGATCACCTTTTACTTATTGAGTTTGCTTATAACAACAGTTATCAGGCGAGTATTCAGATGGCTCCATTTGAGGCGTTGTATGGTAGACCTTATAGGTCTCTTGTTTGTTGGACTGAGGTGGGTGAGAACGCCGCCTTAGGACCCGACATAGTACTCGAGACTACTGAGAAGATTAAGCTGATCAGACAGAGGTTACTTACAGCTCAGAGCCGACAGAAGAGCTATGCAGATAGGCGGAGACAACCTCTATCTTTTGAGGTGGGAGACCATGTTTTTCTACGGGTTTCTCCACGAAAGGGGTTGATGAGATTTGGGAAAAGTGGCAAGTTATCGCCACGATTCATTGGACCGTTTGAGATTTTGGACTGTGTAGGAGAGGTTGCTTACAGACTTGCTTTACCACCACAAATGGACAGAGTTCACAATGTCTTCCATGTATCGATGTTACGGAAGTACGAGCCAGATCCATCTCACATTTTGAGTTGGGTTGATGTAGACATTGCTGAGAATGTTTCCAACGAGGAGGGACTAGTTCGGATCCTTGACACACAGCAGAAGGTGTTGAGGAACAAGACAATACCAATGGTGAAAGTTCATTGAAGACACCACGGAGTTGAGGAGGCTACTTGGGAGCTCGAACAGGAGGTTCGCTCCAAGTATCCAGAGTTGTTTTCTCCCTCGGGTATGGCTTGATTTCGGGGATGAAATCTTTTAAAGTTGGGGAGAATGTAATGTGTGTGTGTGGTGTGTTTTAACAGCAAAAGAAAAAGAGAAAAGAAAAGAAAAAAAAAATGTGGGACCCACGAAGTTTAAATGGTCATAAGACCACGTTTTTTTTCCTTTTTTTTTTTCTCTGTTGTTTCTTCTCTCTCGCAGCTCTCTACTTCTCTGTATTTCTTTTTTTTCTTTTTCTTTTGCAAGCTTTCACTCTAGATTAATTCCTCATCTCTTGGTATTTTGAAGTGCCGTTTGCGGCAAATTGAAGCCCACGACGAGGTCTTCAAATCCATACTAACAATTTCAGCTTTTGGCCACTCTAGGGAGTCCAAAAATCTTGACCCATTTTGAGGGTTTGAGGTGGAAATTGGGGGTTTTGCATCATTTTAAGGTAGGGGTCTCTAATTCTCGTTTTTTCTTGCACCTTTGTGAATTTTTCTACTATGATCCATGTCAAGCATGTCTAATTTTAGTTGGTTGTTTCTAAATTGATTTACTTGGGCATATGAAGTATGTTAAATGATGTATGGCTAGATTTGTATAGAAAACATATCTAAAATGTTAATTTTTCATGCATTGGACATTTTTGGGATAAATGAAATGGGATTTTGGGGAAGTGTATCGATAAAATGTTTTGAGAAAACCTGGTCGCTGCGGAGTCACCAAAGGGCCGGTGTATTAATATAGCCTAGAGGGAACTAGGGAGATTGCCCTGGCGTGGTTAAGTTATCTGGGCCCCAAATGACGCTGCGGAGGTATCAAAGGTCAGGGACAGCAGCCAATCTTTCTCTTGTGTCGCTGCGGAGTCACCAAAGGGCGGGTTATATTAACAGTTTGTGAAGTGATGATGTTTTTCTGAAAATGGGGAGTGACATGCATAACATTGCATTAATGGCACGAGACTTATTTGATTTGAGCTTAGAATTGATATTGTGTTTTCCCGGCTTTGCATGACCCCAAATTCCTATTGTCCTATTCTCTATTTGGATTCACGGGATTTCAAGAGGTGCATCTTAGGCACTGCCTACTGAGCAACTTGCTCACCCTATCATTTAATAAAAAATTTCCAGGAAACGAGAAAGAAGTGGCGGATGATGTTCTACCACAGGGCTAATTTGGATTAGAAGACTTTTTGCCATTTTGTATACTAAGTCCCATATTTTTGTAAAATCTTAGTTTGTTATATTTGGCATAGAGGTTTGTGGACCCTTGTTCTTGTAATTATAATTATGGACTGTAATTTTAGTATAAACGTTGTAAAACCTGGACGTTCGATATTAATCTTGTATTTTATGACTGTAATTATGATATTTGGATGATATAGTATATGGTTACACCACCATTGAGTGTATTATATGATATTTGTGTTGGGACAAGTTTAAAATTCTTTTAAACAGGTTGTTGTAGGACGATTTTTAGCGAATGTTATGCCAAATTTTTTTTTTAATTTTGGCATCAGCTAAGGTCGTGACAAGACCGAAAAACCCTTCTGACAATAGAAGCTCTTCTAAAATAAAATTTTCAAATAATAACACAAAACGCAAAGCTAAAGCTATGCCAAAAGGACTAAGGGGTTGCGGAATAAATTCAAAAAAAAAAAAAAAAAAAACGCTTTTATCAGTAGAGTTTTCAAAAAATTATGGTTTACCCTAATTTTAAAAACACTAAATTCTAACTTCATTCAAGAGTTTTACTAAGCTAAATTTGATAACCACTAAAAAGGCTTTTTATGATTACCAAACATATTTAAATACAATTTTTCAAAATAAAAGTGATTTTAAACCGTAGATAAGCAATCCCGAACGATCTCCAAATCTTCGATGCATGAAACGCCTTATAAACTACTTAGACACTTGGTAAATGGAGACATCTTGATCCAACAATGTTCTTTTTCTTTTCTATGCACGTGTTTCCCTAATCTCCCATAAACAATACGAATCAACTAAGTTAATAGATATAATAAGTTCCTATTTAAATGGAAGGAAAGTAATAATATAACCTTTTGCAGCCACTATATATTATTTATTATATGGTAGGAAAGAAAAATTAAGTTGTATTCAAATGAGTTTAAGGAGCCCTTTAATTCAAAATAATATTGTTGAAGTGGTTAGACTCGAACTTCTTTTTATGGACAAGTCTGCAACTAATATGTAGTTGTGTAAAAGAATAGGGGATTTCAGAGGATATTTTCAAGCACTAATAGATCCTCGCACAGACTAAGATTTATATAAGAGCTAAATTTATATGGAATCACTTTCAAGTTAAGAAAATTTTGATAAGAAAACATATTTTCGTGGTGAACTCATGTTTCAATCGAACCTTACTTTAGTTATTGTGTTCGAAGCTAACACAACTGAGATCAAGCGAATTTTGATTGCCACTAACACTACTTACTGAGATCAAACTTAACACAGATACAATTGATCCCAGTTCATTCGTGTCCAAAACAAGGTGTCTCGTTAAAAAAAACATTCCTAGGGACACTATCTCCTCGACCCCGCAAGTTGAGACTTGGGATTTGCAAAGTGCCAACATATATAAACCAAACTTGTGATTTAGACTCCACAACCTCAACATAACATATTATAGTAACAGAGATCGTTGGATGCTTGGCTTATCCCATCAGCATTGCTTGCGTTGCCGGAATGCTTATGTTTGGTTGAGTCGTTTTTGTTGCAGTGCAAATGGGGGACAGTTATGTCTTTGGTTCAATTTTATTTCCTATGAGTATGAGTTTGTTGTTGTTGTTATTATTATCATTTTTACTTTATATATATACATATATATATATACACATTTTTGTTAGGTTGTCCCATAACCCTCTGTGTTTGGCTGTCATGGTTGATTGAATACAATTCTTTGAACACTTACCTTTCAAAAAAAAAAAAAAAACTATTGAATCATTAATTTTATTTATTAAAAATGTTTGGGACACGTAAAAATTGACATATTATTAAGATAATGTATATCTAAAATGACTGTATGTACCCATGTTAGACAGTTAGAGGCCACGTCATCATCAAAAGACTCATTTAGGGAAGAGATGAACTGGGGAACGATTATAAAAAATAGAAAACGTTAGGTGAAGATAGGGAGAGTTTTGTCTATTTAGAAACAGATAAAGGTGGGAACACATTAAGAAAAGACGTGAGGGTTTAATAACTATATTGTTGAAGTTAAACTGGGGGCAATTTCATAAATAGACATGAAAGCTCAATAAGTATATTATTCAACTTGTATAAAAGTCAGGGACTCAAAACAAAGAAAGAAAAAGAAAGGTGGAATTCAGATGTGAACATGTGGACCAAAAAATTATTAAAATGGAGAATTGTTCCTAGCTTCTTTTTTTTTTTTCCGACCTTTGTGATCATTCTTTTATTTCCCACCATTCTTCTTCGGCTAAATTCATTCTCATTTTTAGCCCAAGTTTCTATTTTCCTCCACATTTGTCAAAATCATGCAAATGTGCATTAAAAGAAAATAATAAATAGAAGAGCAAGCATGCATGAAGTTGCTTACACCAATAAAACATCTTACCATTTTCTGATAATTACATACCTTCTGAGTGATCTTATTGCTTTACAAAACAGTATTAATTACCATGCGTGACTAAATATTTATTGATCTTCCCAGGGTGATAAATTTAAAGAATTAATCTTGAAAACAAGTTCTTCAATTTGTAGGTGTAGGAGATGACTGTCCAAGAAATCTAAGTGCTTCAATAAGAGTCTTTCTAAACCTCACAAGATCGATCTTCATATTCTGCCCATCAACATATACAGCCCTGGCTGCATGGTAGCCCTTTGCAAATACAGCACCTACATCCACAATGACCTCGTGATCTCGGCCATAAGTATCGACAAGCGAGCTCTCCTCTGCTTCAATCTTGTACTCCATGTACTTCACACCCATGCCCGGAGCTGGTTCACCAAAGTAGGCATTTGAGGCCCACTCCAGCCCCCATGGCACCACTTGCACCATCACTGCCCCGGTAGGCAAGAACACTTCATTTGCTAGGCCAGCACCATGTGCACCAACCATCACACTGCAGGAGTTCACAACACTGGCAAACTTGTCTAAATTTGCCATCCTGTTTGGGGTCACCACGACAACGCGAAACCCTAGCTCTTCCATCATGCCCCCCATCTCATCCTCATTCAGAAACATTCTTGATCCTTTACGCGATATAAGCACCAACACCGGTTGCTCTATCTTTGACACAACACTACTCTTTACCTTAAGATTATATGCTTCTCGAAGAAACTGTTTGAAGTCCAGCATTGAATACCCTTCTGGGAGATCACTAGAATTTATGGCTAGATTGTTATGGAACTGAAGCCCAACCACCATTCCTGTAAAACAATGCACACTACTACCATTTGAAGCCGGATTTATGACCTCATAAGGAGACAAATGGGCTAAAATCCGGTTATATTTATTGACAAAATAAGGCTTGTAATCAACGACGATAAATTGTAGATTGGATTGGAAATGGTAGGTTGTGAGGAACAATGGGATGATGATTTCGTTGAATTCATGGAATAGGTTTCCCACGAAGCCACTGGTTGAAAAGATGGCGGCTGGGACATTGTGGGTGTAATTGCAAGCTGGTGGTGTGATATTGTTTCCTTGAAGTATCTGAACTGGTGTGATGGTATTCATGGTGTTCTCATCTTCTCTTCTTGCATATGGCCGAACATTGCGATGACCTCGTGGCATAGGCTGGTCTGATAGCACATGTACTGTCATGGTGTTGGTGTCAATCCTCACCGGTTTGTTTGTCACACAAACTTCCGAGTGCTCAGCAGTATTGCAAGCAAATCCAGTGGTTTCAAGTTGCGTTCGATCTTCTCCTGTTTGCATATATATATATATATATATATATATATAGATCAACTTTAGTTTTACATCGTAATTAGAAAATTATAAGGCAATCTTGATTCTTGACAATGATTCAAGGCATGTCCAGATGCAAATTCACTTGAGACAAAATGACTTCAATGTTTTCCAAGAGCCTATATATACATATATAGCATCACCAGAAAACATGTCACTGTTCTTTCTAGCAATCACTTTGAGAGGTAATTAGGTCAAACTCATTAACTAGAACCAAATAAAGTTGTAGCATTATTTCATCCTTTAAATTGCTCCTACACATACCTTGGACTAATACATAATTTTTTAGCAGATGATTTTCACGACACTACTGATATTAGATCGAAAAGCCTAACCATGGCATGAATTATATTTAAAAACATATCTATATATATATATAATTGAGCACACATAATTAAGAAGGAACCTGTCACTAGACTTCTAAAAATAAATTTCTGGAACTCTTGCTCTTGTACATCGTTATCGACATTTCTGGTGCCAAGCCGAGCTCTCCAATTTGATAACAGTTGTTTCCCTGCTATCATTTCCCAACAATTCAAATCATTGAAACTAGCCAAGTTTAAAAAACTAAACTCCCATTATATAAGTACAATAGCAATCAAACTTACACTCATCATACGAAACTGATTTTGTTGAAAAAATGGCAGCATAAAACAAAGGGAGAATTAGCAAGTACAGTATCAATGGAGTTTTATTGAAAACCAGCCTTCTCGAGTCCTTCTTCATCCGGCCTCGATCTCGAAAATATGATTTGTGTTCATGTCTGATATAAATTAGATGAGCATGTTGAAGGATTGAATGATTGTTGAGTTGTCTATTTTTTGGAAGACTAAGCCTGTTTTTATTCTTGGATTAGCTTTCTCATTTTTTATTATATTTAATTGTTGAAAGGGAAACTTGAGCTGAATTGTCGAAGCATGTAATTTGTGTCAGCTGTTCAAACATTGTTTAGCTAATGGTTGTTAGTGTTTGGACTTTAATTCATCACAATAATTAATCATTCACCCAACCAGCTTCATTAGGGGGCATCTTAATTTGATTTAATATATTTGTATATATTATATATTAGTATATCAAATCTTGGCATGGTATGACATATTAAACTTATTGCGATGTTTATTCAGCATTAATGGTGTCAATGGCTACCGTAGAAAAATGTAGAAGAAATTAAATAAATGTTTTGTTATGGCTAGCCAACGAATTATTAAGTAGTAGTGTATACCCACTCATTTATGCCCAATCACTTTCCCATCCGATTTTGATGTGAAACAAATGACTCTTATTACATTCTTCCCCACCCAAACTCGCAAAGCCCTCATTGCGGCTCGGGCCACCCTACTTACATGGGTTGCTCATCCGGACGCCTTCCGAGCCGAGCGCTTAACGTGACACTGGATCAAAAACTTAGTCTGGCTCTGCTATCAACTGTAACGGGTGGGCGCTTGCCCATTTATCCAAAAGTTCAAACTATTGGGTAGTACTGCATACTTACCCATTTATACCCAATCACTTTCCCATTCGATTCCGATGTAGAACAAATGACCCTTGTTACACTAACCTAGTTGAAGATTCAAGTGGTTTTAGTTAATTAATCTCAATCAATCATTTAGTTAGGTTACAATTAAGCAACTAATTATATCTATGAACTCATGTAGTAAAGTAGGTAAAGATTTTTATGTGAAAAACTCAGACTTGTCAAAAACTTGACAAATCAATGAAATAATATTATATTATTACATTATAAGTAGAAAAACAGTGTTATAACTAGTTAGGAATTCTAATTCCCTCTTAATCACCGGTGGTTAGTTTATCTATAATTTACAATCTCGCTCTTGAAATCATACATCTTCTGATCCCAATTACTGATATTAAACAATCACTCCTCATAATATCTTTTACCATATGAACAAAAAATCCAACTAGAATAATCTTTAATTTGACTAGAAAAAAGATGATGTGGTTTCTAGTCTTCTTCAATGCATGAAGCGCCTTATAATTAAACTAACTACACACACAAATGGGAGGGTTTTTTTATTATTTTTTTTTGGAATTTTTAAGCAAAATTGTATAAATATGAAACGTAATTACAAAGATCTCCAGCTTGGCTGAAGAGACAAAGCAATTGACCCAAAACAAAAGCAACAAATGGATCAAGCCCAACCTATTCCGAGCCCACAAGGAATTGTACAAGATATGTTATACCACACATCCTTAAAATGAAAAAACTCTCTTTTCGCATTTTTTTTAAATTTTAAAATGTTTGAAAATTCAAATGAAAATGTTTGAAAATGCAAGAGATGACAGCTACATTTTCATTTGAATTTTTAAAAAAATACAAAAAGAAAGTTTTAATTATTAATATGTAATTGATCGAGTCAATAAATATGCATTTATTTAGCACAGCAAGAGATAACCATTACATTTTCATTCTAAATTAATTTTATTAAATAAATACATCACTAGATTTTAGTTTGATAACATATTATGCCATACACTTTGGCTAGTCATTTTATCTCTACTATCGGATTTCATATTCCAATTTTAAATAGTGGAGTCTTCTCTACTAACGGTACGTGTTTTAAATTACACTCAATTCTTCTAACTACTTGGAATGATTTTTATTTTTTATTTTTATTTTTTTTCACATTGTCCAAACTCAGTCTAGGTTTATGGATGAGAAAGGGCATATTAGCTCATGTGCTTAACTAATGCACACACCAAATACGCGTATTTTACGCACCTTTTTTATACAACTTTTTACCAACCCACCACTCAGAAAACATTTATCAAAAATGAATTGAGATTCTTGAAAGACTATAAAATAATACAAGTCAATGTCTTTTATATATATATATATATATTTAAAGTCACTGTACAGATGGATAAGGTTGTGACAAATTTTGCTTAAGTTGGAATGAATTGGCTATGCATGCACATATACAATGGAATTCCTATATAATCCCTTTGGTTAGATAGAAATTTATATATGATAGAAAGTGAAAGTGAAATAAAGAAAAAGAAAATCAAGTTTTCAGTATGCATTTAATTAGCAGGAAAAATTTTCAACAAAATTATGAGAAAATATTACTTTGTTAATTTGGATAGGATGAAAATGAAAAAAAAAATATATGATTCTATTACAAAAACTATCCTAAGGAATTTAAATATTTTAAAATAAAATAAATTTGTATTTGATGAACCACTTTATACCTAATTGTTTATATCCATTTTTAACAAAATAAATAAATAAATAAATAAAATAAAAGGAAAGTAAAATAAATATATTATTAAAAATAATAATATTATTATTTCTATTAATATCTAAATTGTATCTTTAACGGACACAACAATTGTAAAACCCAAATCTGGAGATTGTAAGTTTCCAATTAAACTAAGAATCTCAATTACCTACAGCACCAACAGTAAAAAAATATAATAATAATAATAAAATAAAATAAAATAAACATGTATATATACCACTTGATCTCAATCATTATTAATTATAGAACCCAAAATAATAATAATAATAAATAAATTTTATATGCACATATAAAAATATAAATAATTAAATTAGGATTATATCAATTTACAGAAGAAAATGCGTGAAGTTTGTGACAACGAGTGGAGAGAATCAAGGAGAGAAACATGGAAAAACCGAGAAAGTGAAGAAAAGTGGGGGGAGAAACAACTGACAAGGGTATAAGATGAAACTAAGGTATAAAGTGGCTAAGTTTTGCGAGAAAGTAAATTTTCGCGTATTTTATACTGGAAAATTTTTGGCTTGGTTTGGTTAGATAGAATCAACTCAACTGGGAAAAAAAAGAATATAGAAAATTTTAAAACTTTTTTATAGTTTGGTTAGATAAAAAAATAAAAGTTCTAGAAAATTAGAATTATTGTAACCCTTTATTTTTTCCAAAATATTTCCTTTACAAAACAGGGGGAAATTTTATTTTCCCATGAAAACACATTTTTTAATTTAGTTTTCCTATTTCACCCAACAATTTCATTAATATTATTTTACCCAACAACTTCATTTTATATTTGGAAACAATAACAATTTTTTACTAAGTTTCAAAGAATTGGTGTCCATTAATAACTTTATCATTGATAAATTTTTAATTAACTTGACTTACATTCTTAGTTGTTTTTCATCATATATGAATAATAGTATTTCAAAAGGTCTAAATTAAATGAAAACTTTATCATTTTTTTAATATATTTTATTACTAATTCTTTATTATTTTATTATTTTATAATATAAGGGTAATTTAGGTATCCAAACTATAATATGATATTTTCCTACCATTTCCTTGAAGAAATTTTCATTCTAACCAAATACATACTATAAGATCAATTTTCTTTTCATTCACTTCACTTTTCTTTTCATTTTTCATTTCTTTGGGTTTGTTTGATTAGATGGAAATAGATGGTGGAAAGTGAAAATGAAAGAAAGTAAAGTGAAGGAAAAGAAAGTAAAGTTTCCATGTTGCATTTGGTTAGCATGGAAATTTTTCAAGAAAATTGTGAGAAAATATTATGTAGTTAGTTTGGATAGAATGAAAGGGAAAAGAAAATGATTGTACTTGTCAAAATTGTCCTTATAATTTTAAATACTAAAAATATAAATAAATCTGACTAAAATTAATTCATGCATCAAATTTTGTTATTGATAATAATATTCTGAACTTGTGTGAGACACCAAGTCACCGGAATTTCTTTACTCAAAAATATTTTAATATATATATATATGATTTGGACCTTACAATTTATATAGTAATTGTAAAAATTTTGATGAAGTCGAATAAGATTAGGATTGTTCCACTATATGTTTGTTTATATTAGAATAATCAAAATCAATAAAATTTTACATATAACAACCAAATTTATGAGGGTTTTCTTTTTGAATTCAACTAGAATTATATAACTATAAAATATTTTGTATTATTCTTTTTAAGGAACGTATATTTTTTGTAAAATTTATAATAACTCTAGTATTAAAATTATAAAACCTAGTTGATATGTATATAAACATATTAAAAATTAATATAATGCACTTAAAAAATATCCACCATAATATGTTATATGTATATACGTATTTGGAAGGAAAAAAAAAAAGCAATAAAAATTGATTAAAAAAAAAATTGCTAAAAATAAGATGTCTCCAATTTCACAATTTCATTTGCGTTTGGAAAAAAAATGTTTCTAAAAAAGGGACAAAAAAATAAAGGAAACCCAAGTTATCCAACTGATAATAATAGGTATAATAGGAATTTAAAATATTACTTAACAACTTTCCCGAGAAATAAAAATTTTCGCGCACAAAAAATTTAAATATTTTTCGATTCTTTTCTTTTCTTGCTAGTTCTACCTAACCAAACAAACCCTTTGTCATTCTTACTAGAAAATCAATTTTCTTTTCATTCACTTCACTTTTCTTTTCATTTTCCATTTCTTTTCCATTCTTGCTATTTCCATCTAACCAAACGGAGCCTTTAAGAAAAATTCACAAGAGCGAGAATCCTACTTTTCCAAAAGTTTTCACTTTCTATCTAACCAAAATGTATAAATTTTTAAAATATTTTCTTTTTCTTTTCCTTTCTAACTAGTTCTTGCTAACCAAAGCAACCCTAGTGAATAAGATCTCATACGTATTAAAATTGAGCTCTCATCGATATAACAGTCTGCAATGTGGCAAGAACAATAACATGGACTTAAAGAGCAAACAGAACAAATTAAGAACACCATGAATAAATACATAACTAAAAGACAGCATTTAGCATAAACAACAAGCTCTTTACAATTCAACTAAAAAAAAACAAGCTCTTTACAAACAATCCTATATGTTTTTATTTTATTTTTTAATAATACCATCATGTCTAAATTTGTACAGTGTTCGACAGAAGAACCTGTTTAATTGTAGAATATTAATAATAAGTGGAAAAGACTTGAGCCTTTCTCTTGAAGCAATAGGTTTCATAATCGATTTTTTTTAGATGCAAATAATGTTTTAGAGGTCATACTCACAGACATAATCCGAGGTTAATTTACCCAATCTGTGTGGGAAGCGCCTTACACAAGTCCAGTAATTTAGTCAAGGCATAGCCCCAAACACCCCGTCGGAAAAAAAAAATCGAAAAGGCATGCATTGAGCATGAGACTTTGAATAGGATGATTAGGATCCTCAAAAGGGTTGGTGAGATAGCCCATGAATCCTCTTCCATGACTCCTCCCTCTGCATCTTCAATTGCTTATAGAAGTTCCCTATAAATATCTCAGCTCTGGTAAACAGTTCTTGCCCACTAAGGACCTCGGCCTCCTCTTCTTCTTCTTCTTCATCATCACCTTCAGCTAGCTTTTCAGCTTCAGTCTCTCCACCTCCTATAAAGAAAAGGCTCGGTGTAGACGGGCATTTCTTCACCTTATGCACCTTGACAGTGAAAACTATCTTCTCTGATGAGGATTTTTGTACCACCTTTGGCTTTTTAGGGTTACATTCAGAATTGATTATGCTATCGGTAGGAGAGGCTTCTGAAACGACAACCGGAGGTTTTTGGTCATCTGGAGCTTTAGAGAAGAAGTGGAGAAGGCCAGCTTCGGCTCCGAGTGCGATAATGAGAAGATTGAAGACAAAGTAGAGATATGTAGGCCTTAAAGATGTGGATAGAAGAGGTGTAATGACGAGTGCAGCAGCTATGAGAGAGAGCTTCAGAATCTGAGACTTGGCCTTGTCCATGGCTTTTGCCGGCTGAAAAGGGTCGTGCAGATTGGGGTTTATATAACCAAAGGGAATAGGCTGAATAGCAGTTGTTTTGGTATAAATGATGTATGTGCTTTGTGGACATACATATACATACATACATACATATATATATATATACACACACACACATATGTATGTATGGAACAGAGAGAGAGGGGGGGGGGGGGGGGGGGATGACTGTAAATGACTAAGATATGCATTGATACTTTTTTATTTTTATGATTAGAGACACGGGACACGAATACGACATGACACTCATACGGTGATACAGTAAATTTCAAAAAAATTGAACACGGACACGGTGGGCTGGGATATGCCTATATATATATATATTTAAAATCCACAATATTATAAATCTATCCTCCTCCAAAAAAATATTGTAATAAAAGAAATATTTTAATTAATTAAGAACAAAGCAAAGTTATCAACAAATTTACAATTTACATTTTACACACATCCCCAAATATAATTGTTCTGATTTTTCTCTGTTTTTCTTGTTACGGTCTAAAAATTTATTTAATTTCAGTACTAAGATGAATGAATCAAATAAAAAAAATAAACATGATGGAATCATAAAGTTCAATAAAAGTAAAAGTTCAGAATCTCAGACAAAAAAGTCAAAAGAATTAAACTTCTAAAATTAAATTAGATACCCTATTTTTCTTTTTAAAAAATTACAAAATATACCCTACCGTATCCTCCACGTGTCCCAGCCGTTTCCACCTCGTATCCAATAAAAAATAATTTCTAAACACTTCACAAAAGTGTCGAAGGCATGTACAATACTGTTACAAGACCCCTAAAAAGAATGTCCATGCTTCATAGTTAGAGACTTATTAGAGTAATGCGAAGAGAATTGCTTGACCGAACTCTGTTTAGACTTAGAGTTAAAGTGACTTATTTAACAGAACACTTTAACTCAATAATTTAAAAGCCTTTTTTTATGATTATTTTATCATATTTCGTTTTTTTGTTACAGGAACCTTAAAAGCATCTGTGTTGTCAAATTGTGAATACGTACCATTATCCATATACTGAAGTGTCATTGATTTGGTACAATTCATATTGAAGAGAATATAGTTTTTGAAAGACATGGGAATGTTGGGGGTGGGAGACAAGAGAACATGCAAGAGAGAAGAGAGAGGGAATATGATTGGGCTATATTTGATAAGGTCGGTGGAAGGATATTCTTATTCCTCTCTTTCCCTTTTTAATCCTCTTTTCCATAATCCAACTTTTGCCGCTGCCTTTTCGGATTTTCTGGGTTATGGGATCCAAAAAGAACACCACAAGAGGGCCTCTCCATCTTTGCTTTGGGCCCTGAGTGAGACCCATGTCATCGTAAATTTTATGTTAGTTTTGTTTTCCTTTTTTTTACTTGTGTGCCGCCAATTGATAATTGTGTTTTAAAAACATATATATATTAATAATTAACTGAGGCTATGTAATAATTTCTCATCATGTCATAGCGCTGTCATGATCCTACTAGGAAATTCAAAGCCTCATAAATGGAGCAAACTTGCATGGCCCAAATGTACTGATCCTGTCCATTAAGATATATGGGGTCTATGATTTATTTGAACAATATTTAATAAATGGGCATAATGTTATGGGTTCTTGTCCCACATCAAATCTGAATGAGGGAGTCTTGAACATATAAAACTGAACATTAACACCGCAGAGCACCCAACCCATAACAATGAAATGATCATGATTTATGACTTATACAGAGCATTATTATGATTACTATAGGTGTTTTTTTTTTTCCCCTGATAAAGAGGGTAGAGGATGGGATGAGTCAACCAGAACTCCCACCATCCAGCCAACCCAAACACTTACCACCACCACTCACCTTCAACACACGCACGAAACCCCATTCGTTAATCTTTTTAGCAAAATAGTCACCCTTTATCTGTGAGAAATGCTTTTCCTTACTTTTCAAAATAAATAAATTGCTTTTCCTATCCTTTTGTTTAGATTTAACGTGTAAAAAACCAATGTCAAAAGTAGCATTCACATTAAACACTGACAGTCCAGGATAACTATTGCCAACCAACTAGTTCATTGATTTTAATTTATTTTTCGCTGTTAAAGAAGATGATAGACTGTCATTGACAACCTGAGAGAAATGCCTCCACCTGTAACTAAACTCTTGGAAGTTCGCTTGTTGTGTAAAGACTCCTGTGGCAATTTTACTTCACACTCTAAATTACTTATTCAGATCAGAACAAATACCATCTGTATAATTGTATTGACTCTATATCCATCACGTTTTCTCACAAATTTCAATAATAATTAAACCAGAAGGCATAAAACTCCTGCCTCCCTTGCACTCACCACCACGTATTATATCTATAAGGCATGCACAGACTTGCTAGGAACTATGCAATTCAATAGTAATAGATTTTGCCACTTGCGGCAAACAGATATCACTTCTGAACTGATGCTATACAATATATTATACTTGCACAATATCCAGGAAGAAACAAATACAGGACCAAGATGTGCTTTACAAAGCTATATATTTTTGCACACATAATCAACAAAAATGACATGGAGAAAGGCAAGCCAAAAATATTAACATTTTCTTCCGACACTGAATAAAAGAGTCCAAAATCTCACATAAGGAGAAGCTTGTTACCTCTCCATGTTCATGATACGTGTAACGTTATGCATTGTGACTGTTATGATGCCTAGATCATTTCCTCCGTGTAGGGAAGGCATATACTGAGATCATCCAAGGTGGGGCAATCACAGATGCTTAGGCAATGCTCGTTTGCTAAATGCAAGAGGCAAATGAAACACAAATGGGGGGAGATATACTCTGGCGCTGCAGCTTGGCAGTCATCAGGAAACGTAGCTAGAACATGTCTGAAAGATGTTGTGTCTTTGCACACCTTCCAAGAAGAAAAGATTGTCCACAATTACAAATTATATTTCGAAGTAGAAAAATGATCTATGGCAAAAGAAAGGCGTGCAATATTCAGAATTGTAAGCAAGCAGAGTAAGCTGCTAACCTAGAACTGAATCATGGTGAATTTAAGTGTTCATATTTTTCAAATGCAACTGTAAGCAAGCAGTATAAGATGCCAACAATATCTGTTGCCGGTCAGATGCCCAAAAATAGATTGAAAGCGGAAAGCAGGAGCATGAACGCTCCAAACTTGAAAATTGTGAATATTAAGATCACCTCCTAGGTGCCTATATTAATGGTGGGCAAACACATCTTTTAAATAAATAAATAAACAAAAATTGTTAAATACTCTAGAGATAAAGTATAAGAAATAAAAGATATAAAACAAGAAGCATCACAAGAAGATGGGGTGACTCAACCGTAAAAACTAGTTCTTTGTTCAACAAGTCAAGGGTTCAAGTCTGATGTTCAATATACAATATATAAGCTCACCATATCAGGCACTTTAATAGATTCTTGTATATGATCCCAAAGGGTCTCCTTCAACACGTGTACATCAACCTGTTTAGAGGTTTTGTCATACTGAACCTCGATTTTGTTTACCTGAGTTGATGGAACAAGAAAGAGAATTAGAGAAAACTTTGAAAACAATGTGCAGAATCTTTACAGGCAATATCAAATCAGATATCTAGTAAGGCCCCAAAATATCAGAGAAAATTCAAGCAGATAGTTTTCGCGTAGACTGCATTCTCATAAATAGATATCCACATACAGAAATGACAAATAATTGACTTTCTTACCGTAATCCTTCAAAAGAAGTAGAATATATATATATATATATATATATATATATATATCAAACGGCTCTATAAAAGTTGGTTAGACTGCCCTGACTGAACTAAGAGACCATCTTGGCTCCTACACCATAACCAATCATTTACACGAGCACCAAATGATCTAACCTGGAAGAGTACCAGGATTGAAAAGAAGTAGAACCAAGATAAGTTGACATACCTGACGAGGCTGAGAGACGAGAGATGCTGAATCTTCCAGATCACTGTGGATACACCCATCATCATATTGGCCACCATACATATTTTCATTGTCCCATGATGGCAATGTTTCACTGAAACCATTGCTCTTTTGCCTCGCCTTGTCTTCTGAAAGGGAATAAAACATGCAAATATACTAATTTCACAAAGAGAAACTCAACATTCTCTTGTCAAATCTGAAGATTCATTTATTTCATAAAGACGACATAATCTCTTATCTGATCCTTTCTTTATAAACCGCGAAACTTTCAAACATTTTAAATATTACTACCATAAAATTGATATTACAAACACCAAAACTCTTAAGAAGAAGACAAACAGAAACAGCCTAAAATAGCAAGTCAAAACATCTGAAATACATATCCTACGAAAAGGAAAGGGGGGAAGCAGGAAGAAGAAGTTGGTTGAATGGCTGAAGTATATTTATTGAAACTTCAGGTGCTCAAAATAAACCAAGGAGTACTACATACCCAGAACAGATGAAAATGTGAATTTTAAGTAATTTGATGATGTAAACCCAAGGGGATAGTCTAATGGTAAGATGCTCACCTCACATCCTAGAGGTAGGGAGTTTGAATTCCCTTGTAGTCACCCCCAGGATATTTTTCCAAAAATTTCCTGGTGCATATAGGACGGGGGGACTGCATGTGCCTGGTAGTAGATTATGGGGTGCTCTAAGGGAGGCCAAACACCACCATTGTCAACCAAAAGAAAGTATTAATTTTATGGTGTGGTCATCAAACCACACCACATAAATTATTAGTCAATTCATTTTCATATCAAAATGAGAAAACACAACATTATCTTACACGTGATGGACGATATGATGCATCTTTGTGGATTTCATTCATATGCATATTATAGGACTGGGGACTGCATGTGCCTGGTAGTAGATTATGGGGTGCTCTAAGGGAGGCCAAACACCACCACCATCAACCAAAAATATATATATATAGTAATTTTATGGTGTAGTTGTCACGACCCGAAAATTCTACTAAAATTCTCAATTTATTCAAATCCAATTACATCAAAATACACCCAGAATAACAAGAAAAATGCCCTCTTTTATATATACATAAAACTCTCATATATATATATATATATATATATATATGGTGATAAGGATGATGAGAAAGGAAAAGGGCGAGTAAGTGGCCGAAGGTGGGAGAGAGAAATTGTGATTATGGTGGTATGTACTTGGGGGCCCACTGAAGATTTTTCTTCTTGTTTTGGTTTCCTTCACGTGCCTTATTTTGTGGTTAGGGTCTGATGGACGTAAAGATAAGAAAGGAAAGAGGTGGTGGTGGTGGGCCCCCACTTGTGATGATTGTCCTTCGAATTTGTAAATTGAGTCGGTGGGTTTGCCTATAAATTAGGCTTGTGACTTTGGTGCAAATGCAGAAGATAGAAAAATTAGAGAGAGACTAGAGATACAGAGAGAGTTTGCAGACAGAGGAGGCTGAGAGTTGCAGAGGAGGCCGGAGCTTGAGATTTAGTGATTCAGTGAGGAAATTATTTTTTTCAGTGCAGGGTTCTCTATACCTTGAATGGCTTGGAGTGGTTTTGCTTCAAATGGTTTTATTAAATGTTTTTAATTAAATGCATATTTTGTTTATATATTCACCTGACTATGTATATTTTGTGAAGTTGTTTTGTTAAACCTCCATGAAATTCTTGTTATGGTTTTTCCTACTGGGACTTTTGTCTCACCACCCTCCAGTTTCAGGTACCGAAGATGAACGGGGATTGCTAGATTCGGGCTTAAGCTGAAGAGTCGGCGTTGCAGAATTTTATTTATTTATTTGGAGAGTTTTATGTATACATAAAAGAGGGCATTTTTTTTGTGATCCTGGGTGTATTTTGATGTACTTGGATTTGAATAAATTGAGGATTTTAATGGAATTTCCGGGTCGTGACAGTAGTCCTCAAACAACACCACATAAATTATTAGTCAATTCATTTTCGTATCAAAAATGAGAAAGCACAACATTATCTTACACGTGATGGACGATATGATGCATCTTTGTGGATTTCATTCATATGCATATTCTAGGACTAGAGGACTGCATGTGCCCAGTAGTAGATTATGGGGTGCTCTAAGGGAGGCCAAACACCACCACTGTCGACCAAAAAAAAAAAGATAGTAATTTTATGGTGTGGTCCTCAAACCACACCACATAAATTATTAGTCAATTCATTTTCATATCAAAATGAGAAAACACAACATTATCTTACATGTTGTGGACGTTATGATGCATCTTTGTGGATTTCATTCATATGCATATTCTTTGATACAAAACCGGATGATTCCTTCTTTGTAAGTTTCCACATAATTCCTCAATGTTTAATAAAGAGAGTCGGTTTCCTTCGAAGTTATATAGATTCTTTCTTTTTCTCTTCATATTTTGTTTTTCTCCTAATTTTCCACACATTCAAACAAGAAAAAGTGGAATTCAATATGACAAAATATTGTTTTGACACAGATGGAAACCTAATATTGCTGCTTCCTAACATCGCACTGAAAGACAGAAGCATCTATCAGTGGGAGAAAAAAACTGATACCTGAAAGTCTTCTTCTCTTCCCAAAGCACTGCAAGAAAACATGAAATTCACACTCAATCGAAACAAACGGAAAAAAGGTACATATATTAAACAGCAACAACCTGAATCGAGCAAGTAGCTTGAGCTAGAATGTTACAAACTCCAGATGGTCAATCCAAAGTATGGGTGGGGGCCAGAGCTAATTTGAAATTTTCAAACAGATGCAAGCTCAGGCTAAGATAAGAAAATAAAAGGATTTATAATGAGGGTTTTGGCAGGCCTCTACTCAGCCGGATGCCCAACTCAGGATCAATTTTCTGTGTATTCAATACCATATTCCATAATATCATATTACATCACAAAATATTATGTCACACCAGTTACCACACTATACTGTAGTAGTATTTCTTTTCTTTCGTAAGTTACAGTAGTCCTAGAATATTTCTACTCTATTGTTTTTTTTTTGGTAAATAAAATCATGCATATACTGATAATACAATTCACAGTATAAAATGGTTTTATACATGTAGTAGGATATTAAATTTGTGGCAACCCAAACTCAACCCAACACTTTTAAACTTTAATATGTGGAACTAAGGCAGAGGAATTTAGACCCAGAACGGGGTAACCACAGCTGGCTTAGTCTTGACAAAGTACCAAACTTAAACGCTACTCAATAACAATACATACAATGAACTCATTATAGGTGACTTTATATTACCATAACATTAGGAAGAAGAAACAACTTGACAAGATCTTCAGGTTGATAATGGCAATCTTCAGGAAGTATGTTACCCCAAGGCACTCTATTTGGAGGAAGCGAAATCAACTTCACATTTTTGGGGGGAGCAAAGATATTAGGCATTTCTTTCTCCAAAGCTTTCATAAAGTCGATATCAAGTTCAGTTGCTTTATTGTTCTTAGGTTTCTTTGTTATGAAACCTGATTTGCTTCTTCTGGCTGTAACATCCTCCAAACCTACAAACAGATACCACGCTAAAAAGTCAAAACCCCCAGAACAGAGAATCCGAAGTGATGAAAGATGTCATTTATTCCCAATACCAACCCTTAGTCTTCCTATATTTCCAGTAATCAGGACCTGCCCATGCATTTTGTTCTGAAGTGAATCCCAGCCCTTGAAATAGAAACATAGCAACCTTCTCAGATGTGCCGTCCACATCAGGTTCAAAGGGTATATAGGGATCATCCTCCTACATAGATAAATAAACTAAAATAAGTGTTTTAGGTTTTTTTTTTTTTTTTTTTTTTTTTTCCCTTCTTTTGTGTTCATCTCCCAAGGGAATTTGGGGAAAATGGGATTTAGGTTAAGGAAAGAGCAAGTGATATGCATGTAAAGGTAATCCAAACCACTTCAACACATAGACTGCAACAAATACCTCATCATGACTCAGAGAAGTCGTGTCTCCAAAATTGAAGCTCTCATCAAGCACATTTGTCTCTTCATCATGATCAAAGGTCATTGCCTCATAATTGCCAAACGAATTACTATCCAACTCAGCATTACTGTCATCAATTGAATCAACCCTACAGAAAGATGTTTGGTCTTCATTAAATGCATGTGATGGCCTCTTATTGTCTTCATCAAACTGAGAAACAATGTCACCAAGAGTCGGAGAAATTTCATTCTTCGCAGGCATGCTCATCACCATCTGCTCAATGTATTCTATAAAGAACAAGCAAATGGCTAAAACAAGGAAGAAGTGGACTCTATTAACAAGAGATTAGACTCCCCAACTAGCAATGTCACAAACCTCTAGCAAAAAAGATATCAATCGTATCTGAAGTATCATTTTGGAATACGCACGATACGCAGTTATTTGGTACTTCCAGAGAATCAAAAAGCACCCTACATCCACCATATATGCCAAGATTGTTCAAGAGGAGACCCTTAGCTCCACCTTCATCAAATTGGGCAGATGTCTGACGATAAAGAGGATCCACTGCAAATGCAACTGGAAAACCAGGAGAAAAAATACAGATGTCAGAAGGGGGGGAAAAAATCATAGGTTTATCACCTACTTAAATGGGTAATGAGTCATGTAAATTACCCTCAAACTTCTTCACATTAAGAGCTTCATAAGATGGCTCCAAAGTTGACAAAGGTGAAATCTGCTGAACGATTTCAATGAGTTAGCAGTCCAATGCATTTGTGCACTCAAACAGAAAAAAAGGAAAAAGGCGAACTGCACCTTCCTATCTAACCCATTCTTAGAACCACCTTCATCTTGTCCATTGTTGATGCTGTCACCCTCCACCACTGTTTCTGTCACCAAAGCTTGACATTAGGGAACTGACAAATTTACGATCATATGATCCATCTTTGCAACAAGATGTTGCAAGTTGAAGGAAAAATCATAATACTCAAAATAGAACATGCTGCTAGAAATAAAATTCATTAAGTGGAGATGACAAAATAGTTATCAAGGAATATTGTTTTAAGAAAATTGATAGAATTTAACGAATTTACTGCCTTCCGGAAATGGCAGTTAAAGATCCCATAAGTGAATCTGTAAAGATTTCCTACAGTTTAAATACTTGAATGCATTGAGGTAAAACAAGAAGGCTAGGCTTCCAAATATATGGTACAAAGGCCAACCTTTCCACTTGAATTCCATAAGGTTATGGAGGTACTGCATAGGCTTCTAAGAATGACCAAGAAGGAAGGGTGAATGGTGCATTTGTTGTTGGATCAGAAGCACGTAAGTCAATTACCTATCGTTTGCTTGCAAATAATTCCCTCCTTATTTGGTATAGCTTCCCTTCTCCATTAAGAATTATTTGGTGTCCTCCTTATTTGGAATGTCATCCTCCATTAAAAGTCATTTCTACAAGACTTAATACTGAGAGGTCACTCCAAGGATTGATAGTCTTCTTACCACAATCTCATCCTCTCTTATTTTCTCTCTCAAGTTGCCCTAGTCTATACCTAACCCAAGCCCCTTGGAGTACCATCATAATTGAAGCAATACCTCCACCCTCATCAACAATTTGAACCAACAAAAAAGATAGGAAACATTGTTTGTTTTAAATAATATTCTTGAAGCTTAAATACCTCCAATATATTTATACATGCCCTTCATAGACCCCTAAAATGTGGAATAACTACATAACATGAAAACATCAGATTATTTTATAACCCTAAATAAGCTAAATTGAACACATACAAAAAAGGGCCCAAACCTTCTTCATCCTCTCCACCTGCCCAACTGATTCGACCAAGGACCTTATATGCTTCCGAGTGCACAGAATCCACCCTCATAGAGTATATCTTCACCCCAGCTTCCAATGTGCAACTCGCCTACCCATTAAAAGTAGTTGAGTAGAGGTGTATTGATTTATTCATTAATCAACAACTCATAATTGGCTAATTAAAATAAAAATGCAAACGCATAAGCATACAAATATCCCGCAATTTTAATTTGCAAGGAAAAGCTTCAAACCTTTTGAAAGTTAGTCTCAGAGTTATTCTCTGTTTCAACTTTGATAACCTCGCTGAGATGGTCTATCAGTTTCAACTCCCAAGTGTTCTTTTGGTTTATTTTCTGCATCCCGAAATATACATTAATACATATATGTATATGAGCGTAAATGCAAAAGGAAAGTACAAAGTTTACTAAGATTAACCCCAAAATTGCACATTAGAAAAGAAAAAAATGCATACATACAAGAGAGAGAATTTACATTTTCTGATGCAAGTTTAATGCAATTATGGAACAACTCAATGATCTGTTCTCTGCCAAGACAGGGAACAGAGGGAGAGATGGTGGTGGAGGCAGTCATGGCCTTGCGGCGAACAGCGGCTGCACGTGCTGCACGTGCCTGTGCGCGTTCGAGTTGATCGTTGTTGGAGCCCAAGAAGAAGGGACTTGTCGGTGATTGGAGACGTGTAGCCATTGGAGCTCTCTGCTTCGGACCCTTTCGTCGATGAATTAGGGCTTACTCTTTCTGATTCTTCTGCAATTTCATCAGATTGTAAGGGTTCTAAGGTCTCTGAATTTCTATCTTACTCTGTGTGTATTGTGTGTAGAGAGAGAGACAAATTAGGATCGTACTCTTCTTCCTGGTGTGGTACATGGGAAACGGTGGTTTTGAACTGTGATGTTAGCAAGGCGATATTTACCGGTGACAGGAGGGAAGGAACTAGAACGATTTCGTTTTGAAATCAAGCTATTTAAAACTCTGTCGTGTTAGGCCTTTGGTATTTTATTACGTTTTTCTCATTTTTTAATTATTTTTATTCTTTTCTTTTGCCAAAGTTTCATTTTATTTGTTTCCCTCCTTAATTTTGAACCTCAGAAGGAGAGAAAGTTTGGGTGTGAACTGACTTATGCTTCGTTTAAATGTATCCCCTAAAGGCAGGATAACTGCATTAGGCCATCTGTATAGTCTTTTCGAATTTTGACTCTCTAAAAATGTCACTTCAACTTTTTCAAAAGTCACGTTAGTAATTTTAAGAATCACGTCAGCATCTTTTACTCTCCAAAAACATGCACTCTATCAAACTCTCCGAATTTTCGTTATCCCAAAAAATATAGAACAATGCTTGCCTTAGACCGCATAAGAAGGAGGTTCCTTCTTATGATGAGGTGTCCTAATAAAACATGAATAGGTATTTAAGTTTTAAAAATAAAAAATGATGACCACAGGCAATAAAAACTTCAAAAAGTTTCCATAGGCTATTCAATCGGCTACTCCTTGGAAAAGCGAGCCCCATGGAATCATTCCAAATTCCAACTCGACATCATGGATTTGGAGTTAAACCCATGGCCAGAGCCGTAAAACAACACCACCAAAGTTGATTCCCATTTCTTCTAAAATCATGTACAGGTCACAGGCCAAGGGGTCGGCAACCACTCAAGAAGAGGGCAGAAAAAGCAACCAATAACCGAAATAATAGAAATCAAATACCTCTTACTTCTACTGCTACTTTTTAGATATGCAGACAGTCTTTCTTCAGAGATCCTCTTCCTCCTATTTTTTTCTGTTTATGGGGATTTTTCCTTATCAACCAATTTCACTAAGGCATGCAGGAGGGTTGAAATATTGTACCTGTACACTCAAAAAGGAGAAGCTACAGAAATCCTTAAAGATCTATTAAATAAAGGAATGTCCCGGTAATAGAAAGGAAAATCAGAAACCCAAAGTAATATATATCTGTGTGAGAGAGAAAGAGGGAAGGACGATTCCATGTAGTTATCATTTTTTTTTTCTTTTACGATTTTAGTGTTGATATTTTATTGGGTCACCTCATCATAAGAAGGAGATTCCTCTTTATGTGGCCTAAGGCAAGCATTGTTCAAAAATATATATATAAATTTTTTTTGAAAAAAAAAAATTTATAACTGCTATATTTCTAACCAATATATTCCCAATGATTATATTTATAACAGCTATATTTCGTATACTATAATTTTATTATGTAATGGTTTTTTAATATTTAAAATGATGAAATTGTTTCGCAACAGAAATATTTTCAATCAAACAGTATTTTTGTAAATTATTAAAAAAAAAAAACTAGGATTGATATTATAACTTTAAACAATACATTATCCATTATGGATTAAAAAAAAAAAAAAAAACCAAATTAAACAAAACAATTAAAAATAACTTAAATAATACAATATTTTAAATTGGAATAAGAAAATAAATAGACTAAGGATTACAAAATCATATAGGAACTTTGAGGCAGACCATGAATGCAAAGATGTTAATATCTCATTTTGTCGTGCAATAATCCCCGCTTTCCCCACTTCTGTTGGTGTAGAATTTGAATCTGTTAACATGATCGCCTTCTCTTCAACTCTTTGTTTGTCTAGAATCTCTAATTGCCTCGTCTTCTCTTTCTCCGTTTTTCTTACTTCTCGTGCCACTTGGGCATACTTCATTTTCTCCTGACGACTCTCATAATAGCATTTGAGATCATTAAAATTGGAAACGAATGAATTTTGCAATTCAAATGTTAAATTAATTTTTGCTCGGCGCTGCTTCGCCACTTTTCTTCTTGCTGGTCGTTATAGTTGTTAATATTCTTCCACACCAGGTGAATCATTTTCCCCCATGTGTAGTGATTCTTCAGTTGAAACTCCATCTGTCGTAGCTGCATGACTTAACGGAGTAGATGGTAATGAGTGTCCAACAGAGTCATTAATGTCAAAGCCAAATTCACTCCTCTTCTTCGACTGTTTTTTCTTTTTGTCCATTTTTTACTTGTTCGGCACAATGTGACTGTCATTTATTGTTATACTTCAAGATCTTCCAGCAACTTTCTAACTTAAATTCACTACCTGTTTGACTACGAAACAGGTCTTTAGCTGCTACCATCTATACGAAAAAATTAACAAAAAATTAAAAGCCGACTATTTAAAATATTTACAAATTATATTTAAACAATAAATAACTCATCATATCATCAGTGCTAAAGCTGCTGGAACGATTCATTTCAATGTTAGTCATGCACCCAGAAAATGTAACGATCTTAGCTGATACCAAAATTTAAAAAAAAAATTCGGCATAAACTCCCCTAAAAATGGGCCTACCACAACCTGTTTAAATATATTTTTAACCTGTCCCAGCACAATAAACATATAATTCATTCTAACATCCCTTTCATCCATTCACCATGCCTTAACTTAGTTCATTTCATAGTGGTACAACCACCTACTATATCATCCAGATACCATAATTACAGTCCCAAAATACAAGATTAATATCAAATGTCCATAAATATAATTACAATAATAAGAGTTCACAAATCTCTATACCAAATATAACAAACTAAGAGTTTACAAAAAATATAGGACTTAATACAAAAATAGCAAAAAAAGTCTTCTAATCCAAATTAAGCCTGTTGTGGAAAGTTATCCGCCACTTCTTTCCCGTTTCCTCAAAAAAATTATTAAATAATAGGATGAGCATAAAGCTCAGTAGGTAGCAGTTAAGACACGCCTCTTGTGTCCCAGTGAATTCAACCAAAGAATAGAGCAATGGGAATGGGGGTCATACTATGCCGGGATCATATCACATAACAATTAACTCAAATATAAACAATATAATGTAATGGGAATGCAATGCATGTCGATGTCGCTCCCCATTTCCACATCTCAAAAATCATCACTTTCAAACTGTTAATATAACCCGCCCTTTGGTGACCCCGCAGTGACACGAGAGAAGGATTGGCTAGTGTCCTTGACCCTTGGTACCCCCGCGGCGTCATTATGGGCCCAGCTAGCTCAACCACGCTAGGGCGACTCCCTAGTTCCCTCTAGGCTATATTAACACTCCGGCCCTTTGGTACCCCCGCGGCGACCAGATTTTCATAAAACACTTTTCATCAAACACTTTCCCAAAATCCCCCTTTTTCATTTCAAAACAATCTTCCCAATCATGACCCATGGTATGCATGTATGTCTTGCTTTCACAGTGCCATAGAATTAAGGGATTTAAACATACTCTACAAATATTGAGGAAAAATTACACATGCCATCACATATCATTTCTAACAAATTTTACAACAATATAGGCATGCTATATCAACTATTAGACAAGAAATTAACCAAATAAACACGTTCACATACAATTCAGATAGTCCATTTAATCACAACTTCTCATATAACATCTACATCATCCACAAGACAAGTAATTCATAATCAAGCATGCTTTACAACAAATTAGGAGGAGTAATTCACATAGGAGCAAGAAAAACGGGAATTAAGAACCCCTACCTCAAATTTGCACAAAACCCTTAAAATGGGTCTTGAATTTCGAACTCCAAGGAGGGCACCAAATCTGGAATTGTTCGTATGGATGCGTAGAGCTCGTAGTGGGCTTCGTTTTGCCTCAAACGGCACCTTAATCCGCCAAGAAATGAGGGAGAAATTAAGCTTTGAATTTGCAAAATAAAAAAGAAAAAGAAAAAAGAAGAGTATGCCGAGGGGAAGCAAGTCTGGCAGCGAGAGAGAAAGAGAGTGAGATTATAGAGACTAAAAAAAACATGGTCTTATGACCACTTTTAATAAATAAAAACTTGTGGGCCCCTCCACTAAAAGAAACTCACCCACTTTAATATACACACACACACATATATATATACAAACTTAAACATTACAGAAAAATTGTTGATTTTTTGTTGGATCACCAACCAACGATTCATCAAAGCTCCAGGATTTCGGTCAATTGGAGTAACACCATCCAATCAAGCCCAATATCTAAGCCACAATTTTAAAACAAAGGCTCAACCAAATAAGCCCAAGCCGAACAAGCCCTAAACAATCACTAAGACAAAGCATGAGAATTCTTAAATTCCTAATCTTGCACAAATCAGAGAGCTCACTTATTCTCTCCCTCTAAAGTCTCACCCTATTTCCTCTAAAATTTTCCAACTCTTTAATCTTTCGATCCCTAATTTTCCCTTGTTTAATTTTAGCCCTCCCCATTAACAATTCCTGGATTCGCCCTTGCTCCCATGCCCAACATAAAGCCTCATTTTCAGCCTTGGTCCAAACTGCATTTCAGATAATCAGTTATTTTGGCAAAAGTTTTAAGTTACTGGGTTGTGGAACACTAGTACCACAATATTGATGAGAATGTTGGGATGGTTGATGAAAAGGTTGGAATGGTTGATGAGAAAGAAATTGAGATTCTCCTCCATAATAATTACAATGTAGTTATGACTGTGAAGAAAAATTGATATTGTTTTTGGGAAATGGCAAAAACTCATCGTTTGATGGGTTGAATTGGGTGTTGTAATAAAATAGGTGTTGATGATCCATGAAATTGAAATGAGTTTGAAAATAGTAGCTAAGAATGAAATGATAGAAGAAGAAATAACTTAAATAGTAGATAATATAGATGGGATAGATGTGATGAATGATGGTAGGAGTTAGGGTATTTATAGAAAATAAGTGATTTTAAAATTTTTAATTAATTTTTTTTTAAAAAAAAAAAAGTTAAAAATATTGAATTTTTAAATTTTTTTTTAAAAATTATAGCCATTAAGGCACTATTTGTGTCAGCCAAATCGTGTCTTAATCGCCAAATACACTATTTGTGGCAGACATTTAAAATTTAAAGCAAAAAAATTTAAAAATAAAAAAACAAACTTTAAGGGGGAAAAAAAAGATGTTTTTTATTATTTTTTTTTTTTGCCCAAATAAATTTTTTTTTTTTTGACAAACAATGCCTAAACAATATATTTTTTATTTAAGGAATTTTATTTTATTTTTAAAAAATGAGCTCAAAATAACCTATTTTTGGGTTTTCTCTTAAAAAAAAAAAAAACATTGTGCTGAACAGTGCCTTAACTGTTCCTGACCATTTTTTATTTAAAAAAAAAAAAAAAGCTTCACGAAAACGTTGCCGTTTTGGTCAAGGGAAAAAAAAGAAAAAATTACCCCGATCGGGCTCGAGCTCGCGCT